GATGAACGTAACACACAGAGCTGGCCAAGATTCGGGCCCGCTTCTCTCTCCAGCCTCAGTCGTCACTGTGTCTTTCCTTCCACCACAAGCACTTGTGCACGCGTGTGTACATGTGTGCACACACACTGGGTAACACACACGTGTTTAGCCAGGCCTCCCTGCACAGAGTCTGTGAAACCCACAATCCCACCTGCAGGCCTTTCTACACTCTGTTCTCACCGCTTGAAATCCTTCTCCCCTCCAGTGCCTGGTCCTCCACCTGCCAATTCCCCCAGACTTTCTTTCTTGGCCAGTTTCCCCTTGACCTATGGGTTTCCTTCTCCAGGGAGCCAACCTGGATTTTTTCTTTTAAATTGAAGTACAGTTGATTTACAATATTGTGTTAGTTTCAGGTGCACAGCAAAGTGATTTGGTCACACATATATATGTATATATCTAATGTATATATCTTTTTTCCACTTCTTTTTCATTATAGTTTATCACAAGTTATTAACTATAGTTCCCTGTGCTGTACAGTAAATCCTTCTTGTTCTTGGACCTTTTAAGATATGCTGGGGGCCCCTGCCCGGAGCCTCCTAGCTGGTCTGTCCACCCCTGAGCAGAGTCACCAGTCTCTCTCCTGACTTTGCCTGGCCGAGGTCAGTCGTCCCACCAGACTGCCGCGTGTCCAGACCCATTTGCTGTATCCCTGTTAGTTAGTGGAAATGCAACTGCAGTCTGACCCAGAAGAATAAAGCATGTCCCCACAGCAACTGCGACCAGGGTGCAGTCTGTAGGCGAAGTGTGTATCACTGCAGCCTGACTTCGATCCAGTTACAGTAATGCGATCTCGCCCTTAAAGGGCTGGTGGATCGACGTGCATTCGTTGCATACTTGGTACTTTGTTCAGAAAAGAGAAAGACATCATCTCGCCTTTGAAGAAGTTACATGTTAATTTTTGAAATGATACTTAAACAGAAATGAACCAAAGCGAGACAGCACACGAGACAGCACACAGTCCATTAGTGGTCCCTGAAGGCCACACGCAGCATCTGGAGGCTTGCTGGAAATGTGGAGTCTCGGGCCATGGAGCGAGAGCTTCCCGCTAACGGGCCCTTCGGTGATGAATACGCACAGGAAAGTGTGACAAACACGGGTGTCCGGGAAAGACAGGGAGATTCCAAGGCAGTTTTCTTTTCTAAGTTTTATTGCATGCCTTTTTAACTTTTTATTTTGAATTAATTTTAGACTTATAGAAAAGCCACAGTGACAGTACAGGGCTTCCCTATCCCTCTGCTCCAGCTTCCTCTGATGTTACACCTTCTGCACGACCACAGTGGAATGGCCAGACGCAAGAGATTAACATCGGCCTAATAGCAACTAAACCACAGACTTTATTTGAATTTTACCAATTTTAACACTAACATCTCTCTTCTTTTCAGAATCCTACTAGCATCCTACATTGCATTTAGTTGTTATTTTCCCTTAGTTTCTTCCGAAGTGTAACAGTTTATCAGGGCATAGTTAACATATAATAAGCTGCACATACTTAAAGTGTTCAATTTGGTTCGTCCCCAAGGCGGCTCTCTCAGGCGGCAGATTTGGAAGGATGCTTGTATAAAAACAAGGATTTGCTGCCAAATTGCAGAGATTTTACTTCCCCAGTCTGTGCTGCTGCCCACCGTCTTTCTCCATCTCAACTCTCTCTGCAGAGCCTGAGCCTTGTCCCCTCTTGGCCAGCATCCCTGCCTCCCCATGGACCCTGCTTCTGCTCTGACGCAGCCCCCATTCTGCTGACCAGGGAACACACGTGATGGTCCCAAGTTTTCATGTCCACGTGGGTCTCCCTTCCAGACAGGTCAGGGCCTTACCACCTGACCAGATAGGCTCCCTGGGAGATAGGGAAGCAGGAGTTTGTGCACAGGACAGGGGGCCAGTGCCGGTGGGGTAATGGCAGGAACAGGTGAGCACACAGACAGTGGGATACAAACAGTCACAGAGGAGGCTTCAAGCCCACCCTGGGGAGCGGGGGTGGCCCTGCAGAGGCAACCCACGTGGAGGGGGAAGGTCCAGGCCTTCACTTCTGCATCCACCTGTCAATGGATGGGAGCTGTCCCTGGGGAAAGGTGTGACACCGTATGAGGTGGCCGTTCCCAAAGAGGGGCTCAAGCAGCACCCGAGTGGCTTAGCCGAGGTTGTGCGTGGGGACCGTGGAAAGGCGAGCATCACTGAGGAGCCGACTGCAAGGTCGGCCGCAGCCCTGGGCAGCAGGCCACTGCGGGGTGTGGCAGGGGACGCAGTGCTCTCCTGCCATAGCCAGAAAGGTTCGCTGAGCACAGGGGGACTCTGGAGGGAGCGTGGGGGCACCTGGGGGAGTGCAGGGCACAAATAGCCCTGAGTTATACCTGCACCCTCCAGGTCCTTGAAGCCATTTGGCTGAAGAACAGAAAGTCCTCTTAGAGACACCTTGGGCAGAGCCTGCGTCGGTGTTGGGGCTGTCTGTGTTTGACTCCTGGCAGTCATTTCACAGGACCTGTTCACTTCCTGCTTGTCTCTGTCTCCTTCCGCTCTCTCAGTTGGGCATCCTAATGGTACGACATCACAGGGATGTTGTAAGGATTAAATGAGATTCTGCAAGCAGGGGTCTTAGAACTGTGCCTGCTCCTTGCTGAGTGCTGTGAGCAACTGACGCTATGAGCATCGTTTATTTGGAGAAACCAACAGTTGTGTCACCGCTTGGTCTCTCAGTTGCTGTGACCTTGTGCAGGTTTTCTGTTGTTTTTGTATTTCGTGTCTCTGCTGAGAAATAACATTACTTCATGCACTTCTTTTTGTTGACTGCAGCTTTTGGAAATTCTGCTCCCTGGATAAGGAAATGAATTGCGAATCCGTGTTAAGCAATCTATTTAGATAATCAAAGAGGAAAAGGGAAGAGCTGCTTTGTGCAGCTGCAGAGTATACTAACGTGGGAGATGCACACGCTGGGGGCTCGCTGGCACCTGGCACTCTCTTTCTGGGTTTGCCGTTGCACCAGCTGACTGAATCGCATGCTGTCTTTACTCCAGAATAACGCAATTTGAACGTCAGAAAATATACCGGACATCTATCACCGTTACCCTGTCCTGGTTTTCCTGTCATCGGAGCAGTGAAGGCACTGTACAGAAACCCGGGCAGGGGCTCGTTTGCTGCTTGAAAAGCTCGTGCAAGTGCAGGAAATACAGCTGATGCTGATAAAATTTCCTAAAAATTCAGTGGGTAACTGTCCATTCTCAGTGCTTAGAGGAGTTTCATGCTTCTGTTCAGATAAATGGGAAGATTTGTGACAATTATTACAAAAGCCAGGGTCATCCAAGAGGTGAGGGCACCAGATTTCTAACCAGCCTATCAAAGACTCTTCTAGAACCTGTGCCATCGGAGCACCCTGGCTGCCTGGATGAAATGCCCGGGGCTCTCCAGCTTCATGAGTGGTCGGTGTGTTGCAGTCAGCAGTCAGCGGGGGTCATTTCCGTAAGCCGTGAGGTGTTTCAGCAGACACACTGTGACTTCTCCAGGCTTTTGCGTGGCGTTCCTGGTGTCGGAGTTTGACTAGTAGTTTCCACTTGGTGATGAAGTGGTGTCGTGACACCCCGGCCCACAAGACACCACCCTCTTCCCTGTGAGGAGGCTCTCATCTCCCCACAGGAGACGCTCCTTGAACTCAGGGACCACGTCCTTGTCACCCTGGCTTTTTCCTTCATGTGTCCCAGGGTCTGGCAGAGTCACATGACACAGCAGATGTTCTATAAGTATTTTTTTGCTTGAATGGATGAGCAAAAAGTTGTAGCTCCAATGGTTCACTGGACGTTATCTCATCTTTCCTCCTTCTTAAATGGATAAACCAAACATCCACATGCAGTAACATCCTTGCAGTCGTTTAGCTGGCTGCATGCTGAGCAAATGACACACTTCTGAGCAGAACTGCTCATCTGGACGGACCTGAGTGGTGGCGGTGTGGACGGTCCGCAGGCATCCTTCCTGACCCGCGGAGTCTCCCTCACGCTTCACCTGCGTTTCCCACTCAGAAAGATGTGTGCAGGCAGAAGGCAGTCTAAGGGTAGATTTGTTCTGGCATCAGGGTCACTGTTTAATCACTCCTGCAGAAGGGTTGGTAACCAAAAACTAAAAGCTGTGCCACCTAAAGCCGTTTTCACAGACGTCTTGGGCCCAGCCTGACCTGGCCAGACACTAAGTCTGAGGAATCTGTGAGCTTTTTGTCCTCAGTTTCTGTGTGTATGTTAGCAGAGAAAAGGGAGATTCTAATAAGGAGGATGTGTTTTTAAGTGTTTTTCTTTTTTAATTGAAATACAGTCATTTTACAATGTCATGTCAATTTCTGGTGTACGGCATCATGTTTCAGTCGTACATACACATACATATGTTCATTTTCATATTTTTTCATTATAGGTTACTACAACATATTGAATACAGCCCCCTGTGTGATGCAGGAGAAACTTGTTGTTTATGTATTTTACATACCGCAGTTAGTATCTGCAATCCTGAACTTCCAATGTATCCCTCCAACCTCCCCTTAAACAGTGTTTTTAGATTCCTTACGACAAATATTAGCTGAACACAAATTTAGACATAACTCATAACTTCAACTTTTGAATCTTTTGAGGCCACAAGATGGCGTAATTTCGCCGCAAAATATCCTCAATCCAGGGGCAGACAGGTATAGACGCGTTGGCTCTACCCATGCTGGGAAGGGAAGCAGGTGTCTGCGGTTCCGGGCTCGCCCTCAGGTGCCGCTGCTCCCCGGGAGCCGGAGGCAGAGGCCCTCCCAGCACGAGCCCCTGACTGAGCCCCTGAGGGGCCGCAGCTGGAAACAGGGAAAGCAGGGCCATCCCTGCAGCTGTGTCGCTGATGTAGCAGGTTTTATTGACACGTGGTTTTTATTGAAAAACTAATATATTTGGTTGGTTGCTAAAACTGACAAAAACAAACTGGCGGCTTCCTTCCTCTCTTCCCTCCCCCCCCCCAGCTCGCTTGCTTTCTTCCTCTTTCTGTCTCTCGCTCTCTTTTTTTCTTCCTTCCTTCCTTCCTCCCTCTTTCTCTCATATTCAGGAGCCTCCATTCCCAGTATTACCTTTGACCTTGACCTACTCACAGTGCTGCCTGGGGACCAACCCACAAGTGCCCGTGTGAACAGGAGGAAGAGCAGCAGCTCAGGCCCACGCCTGGGAGGCAGCTCCGTGCCCCGGGCTTTCTGGAAGGGGTTCTTCTTCTAAGGGTTGTGCTGCTTCCACGTGATGGAAATCTGTTCTCTGACTGTAGGATGTCATCCGAGTGCTGGTTAGGGAAACTCCAGCGGGACGGCCGTGCCTGTCCTATTCTCATGGAACGAGAGCTGAGAGCAGGTAGAGTAAGACACGTATCTCAGCTTCTGCGACTGTGGGCAGTTATCACGTCAGAACGAACACATCGTCCGAGGTGAACGTTCTGTGAGCGCTGGGGACTGAGGGCGACCCGCTGTGAGTGGGTAGGTGGTGGGTTCTGGGGTTAAAGAGCCGGCTTCCAGCCCTGCTCCCCCTTCCTGTGGGACTGATCTCAGGCAAGCTATTTAACCTCTTTGCATCCAGCTCTGTCTGTGGAAGAGCGAACAGCGTGGTGGGTAAAGTGCCTCGAGCACCTTAATTAAGTGCATCCTATATGCTGCTTATGATAATGTCATCTTTGTCCTCCAGGATGTCTCCTTTTGAAATAATTTCAGACTCAAAAAATGTTGCAAACAAAGTAGAGTTTGTGTCTGCTCTTCACCTAGTTTCCCTAAACGTTAACGTCTTACACGACCAACCGCAATGATCCGAGCCAGGAAATTAACGTGGATGCAATGCTGTTAACTAATCTGCAGATTTTGTTCATGTTTCTCCAGTTGCCCCACGAACATGCTTCTTTATGTCCAGGGTCCAATCCCACATTTAGAAGCCACATCTCCTCCAGCCCCTGGCCGCCCTGCAAGATTTCTTCCGCTTTCACAACCTGAACGCTTTAGAAAATTACTGCAAATAGTTCTGTAGAATGTCCCTGCTTTGGGCTAATCTGACGTTTCCTCATGGTTACATTGAGGTTGTGTGTCTTTGCAAGAACACCGCGGAATTCTCAACGCACCCCTCAGGGAGGACGCTGTGCTGACAGGTCTCACTACAGACAGTCAGCCCTCCATATCTACGGGTTCCAAATCCGGTGGACTCAACCAACTGAGGCTGAATGAAAACATTCGAAAAACATTTTTTTTCCAGAAAGTTCTGAAAATCAAAACTCGAGTCTTCAGGTGCCAGCAAATATTTACAAAGTATTTACATTGTACTTACAACTATTTACATAGCAGTGACATTTTATTAGGTACTGTAACTTACCTAGAGGCGATTCAAAGTTCACAGGGGTATGTGCGCAAGCTATGTGCAAATACCGGCCATTCATACAGGGACTTGAGCATCTGTGGACTCTGGTGCCTGGGGTTGGGAGATCCTGGAACCAACCACCTCGGATAATGAAAGATAATTCTGATCACTTGGGCGGCATCAGCTGGGTTTCCTCAGTGCAGAGTCGCTATCTATTTCCCCCTCTGTAATGAGCACATACCTTGGAGGAGGTTTACTGAGAGGCTAACCAGCGTTTCCCAGCCTGCACGCACCTGTTGTTACTGTGGTGTTGGCCGGGGAGAAATGTTCTATATCCACAGTCCATTCCACACTTATCTTTATGATTCTTCTATAAGGAAGAACTGTTCATTCTCCTCTGTATGCGTGTGTGTTTACTCAGTCATTCATTCACTTATCCGTTGATATGACCATGGACTTGTGGGTATTTATTGTATCCTATGGACTTGTAATTACTATCATTACTTATTTTGTTGCTCAAATTGACCCAGATTGGCCACTGGGAGCTCTTCACTCTGGCTCCTGTGTGCTTTCAACGTACCCTCATCATTTTTTGAGCACTGCCTTAATTTCTGGCACCATATGATGTTCACATGTTTTCCCAACCCTGCACCAGGGTCAACAGGTTTCTAAGGAGACCTATTTCCTTTTATTGGAAACTCACACTGAGAAATGCCTGTCTGGCCTCTAGGTGTGCTCATTGCCCTGGGTGCCACTGCCGCCGGGCCACCTGAGTAGATAGACCTGAGCCGGGGACACGGGGACACCGTGAGACCCTCCTTCTACCTCCCGTTCATTCTGCTTCCCCTTCACCTAATTCGAAATGTCTTTTTCTGACAGTGAGGAACCTGGCTTCCATCACCTGCAGTGTGTTTACATGTCTACTCCTTCCTAGATTAAATGTAATGCAGTTCAGCATTTCTTGTCCACATGCCTACAGAAAACACACTTCCTAATGAGAGGAAATACCCGTGGACGGACTGTTTTGTCTGGAGCTTCAGGCTGTAGTCACTCTGCCATTTTCCACCCGTAACAGGGTTAGTTTCTTCCCTACCCATCCAGTGCCCCATGCCATTCAGCCTCACCAGAGTTACGTTCTTTCATTCAGGCTGCCCCACGTCCTGGCTGATTTTAAGTACCTACCTGGGGGAATTGTTCTAGGACCAGAAGGTATGCAGAGGTGTCCCTCTCCCCTCCCCGACTCTCTCCACCCCTTTCCCACCTTCCCGGCATGGGGACTCATCTCATTAATTTCTGGTTTCTGCTTCTGCATTTCTTTTGCAAGAAAGAGCAGCAAGATGCATCCTTTCCCACACCCCCTTCTCTCTTACATGAGGCTGGTGTACTGAGAGACTCTTGTATTTTCCTTTTCTCACTTAGCAATGCTCCCTATCAGTTCTTAGAGGTCATTCTCATTTTTTTTTACAGCTGCATAATACTACATTATGTTCTATAGTTTTCTTAGCAACTACTTAGGTTCTTTCTAAAGGTTTTCAATAACAAATAATGCTACACAGGGAGAGGGTAGAGCTCAATGGTGGAGTGTGTGTTAGCAGACATGAGGTCCTGGGTTCAATCCCCAGTGCCTCCATTTTAAAAATAAATAAATAAATAAATAAATAGATTAATTAATTAATTAATAAACCTAATTACCACCCCCAAAAAAGAAATTAAAAAAAAATTCAAACAACAAATAATGCTACAATGAAAAACTTAATGCACGTAGATGTATATACACATACATGTATACATGTGTATGTTTGGAGTTATGAGTTATCTACAGCTGATGAAAAAATTACCTCCAAACATAATAGCCTAAAACAGCAAACATTCATCACCTCACAGAATCTGTGGGTCAGGAGTCCACACGGGGCTTGGCTGGGCCGTCTGGCTCAGGGTCCCTGCCAGGGAGCAGTCAGGGTACCGGGGGGCTGTGCTTTCCTGCGAACTCTCAGCTGAAGGAGGGTCGACTCCCGAGCTCACGCCCCCAGCCGTTGGCAGGATGCGGTCATTCACCAGGTGTTGGACTAAGAGCCTCAGTGCCTCCCTGACCGGAGGCTGGCCTCAGTTCCTCTGTGGTCCACAGTGGCTCACGGCTTGGCAGCTGGCTTCCATCCACGTGAGCAAGCAAGACAGGGCAAGACCGAAGTCGCGATCTTTTTGCAGCCTAGTCTCAGCAGCAGCACCCCATCACGTTTGCCACGTTCTGTTGGTTCGAGGTGAGGCGCCAGGTGCAGCTGACGCTCAGGGAAGGGGAGTGCACAAGGGCATGAATTCCAGGAGCTGGGGGTCCTGGGAGCCCGTTTACAGTCTGCCTAGCGTGGGATGTATCTTCAGGGAAAATTTTCAGCAATAGGATTGCTGGGTGAACGTACGAGCACGCGCAGTCTTGCCAGGCACCGCTGACCCCCCTCCTCGAGGCGGGCTACACGATCTGCGTCCCCACCGGCGACTTGTGAGAGTGCGCTCACCCACGGCCTGGACAGCCGCACGGCTTGTGGGGCGTTTCTGTTTTTGCCAATTTGACAGGTGAAAACTAGTGTCTCGGTGTTGTTTTATTTTGATTTCTTAATTATGAGTGAGCGTAAACATGTTTTCCACACGTTTCAGTGCCATTTTAATATCTAAGTGAGCATCTTGTCCGATCATGCGTTTTTTCTATTTTTGTATCACGATTTGGTTTTAAGTTCTTCAATTTCAAAGAGTTCTTTATGTATTATTGCTTCTGAATTTTGAGTCCTAGTCAGAAAGCCTTTCCCTGCACTGAGAGGAATCCACCCACGGTCTCTTCTAGTATTTGAATGTTTCCTTTTTCACTGATGTCCTTGTTTCCTCTGGTATTTATGTACGGTGTGAGGGTCTATGTCTGGTTCCAACGGCTACCCAGCTGTCCCTGCAACAGTTACCAGTGTCCTTTGGTGTCCAGCTTTGCCACTGAGAGGTCTGCTCTCGACCCAACTTCCTCTTTGCCCTGGTGACTTGAGATGCTGCCTTCTTCTTATATTAAAGTTTCCCATGTGCTTGAGTATATTTCCTGGCTCTCTGTTCCATTCTACTGCTCTGTTTTCTGATCGTGCCCAACAACGTGAAAGGCGCATGGCGTGCTTTGCTGTCTGGCAGAGGTGAGCCGCCCTCACGGTTTTCTTTTTCATATTTTCCTGCTAGAGTTGAATGTTTATTTTTCCATATAGACTTTAATATTAACTTGTCTAACTCCATAGAAAGCACTGATATTTTTATTTCTGTTAGTATTTTATTGTATTCATAAGCTAATTAGGGAGAACTGCCATGTTTATAATTTTGAATCATCCTGTGCAAGAACTTTCCATCTGTTCAGGTCTATTTTTGTGCCTTTCCAGAATACTTCCCAGCTTTCCTCCTACAGTTTCTGCATATTTCCTGTGACATTTTTCTTTAGTGTCTCATCTTCTTTGTTGTTTTCTCCATCATCGTCCTCCGACTGCCTATTGTTTGTGTAAGTGAAGACTCGATTTCTGTATGTGAGTTTTATATCCTGGTAGTACACTAAATTCTTTCATTGTCGTCAGTTTCATCCTTGACTTTTTAGGGTTTTCCTGGTGTACTTTCATACGCAGAAAGGTAGTTTTCACTGCTTCTTTACCAGTTCTTACACCTGTAATTGCCTTCTCTTACCTAATTGCCTCGTCTGACACCTCTATACAGTGTTGAGTGGTTGAGAGATACTGGGCATCTGGGCATGCTTACCTTGTTCTTGATCTTAGTGAAAATGCCTTTAGGAATTTTTTTCCTACTGAAGTATAGTCAGTTTACAGTGTTGTGTCAATTTCTGGTGTACAGCATAATGCTTCGGTCTTATACATACATGCATATAATACATTCCTTTTCATATTCTTTTTCAGTATAGGTTATTACAAGATACTGAATATAGTTCCCTGTGCTGTACAGTAGGACCTTATTGTTTATCTATTTTATACATAGTAGGTAGTATCTGCAAATCCCAAACTCATAATTTATCTCCCATCGTAACTGTAAGTTCGTTGTCTACGCCTGTGAGTCTGTTTCTGTTTTGTAAGTAAGTTTATTTGGGCCTTTAATGTTTCTCCATTAAATGAGATGCTGGCTTTAGGACCGACATGTATATATATAATTATTATATTAAGAAAGCAGCTTTCAAATCCAACTGAGCAATCTTTATCAGCAATGGGTTTTGAATTTTGTCCAAGGCTTTTACAGCATCTTCAGAGATAATTATATGCTATATTCCTGGATCTGTTAATATGTGTATAATATTATTAGAGTTTCAAATGTTGAACCAACTTTGCTTTCCTGGAATAAGTCCCACTTGGTCGTGGTGAATTATTTTCTTAATGTGGTGTTGAATTCTACTTGCCAACATTTATATTTTTATCACCTTTTATACTCAAACATTCTGTTTTAATTACGCCTCTTCTAGACATCACATTATTGGATTTTTTTTTCTTTGTTCAATCAGAGTCTTTATCTTTTATATTTTTTCTATTTATGATTATTATAATGATCATGTAGTGGATTTGTTTTCACTGTCTTATTTCATATTTTGCTTTTGTTGGACTTTCATTTGCTGCTTGTATTTTCTTTTCCTGCTTTCTTTTGGTCATTTCGAGTATTCTGCCAGTTTAAAATGTGAAACATGGTATTTTTGTTCTTACTGTGGTGACCCTCAATTTTAAGCCTGTAAGTATTCACATTCACCGTCAGGAGTACAGTTAGCAATGGCAGTATGGCGCGCCTCACCATTCAGGGTTTGCCCGTGGTCATGTCCCTTAGTCCCCCTCCCTCAGCCCACACAGTGTTGACATCTTCGCTCTGGACTGTACTGGACACAGTCTGTTTCCTGTTTTGGTCCGTGGTGACTGACCTCTACCAGGCATATGATCACCCTTAATTCCACGTCTCTTACACGAATCTCCCAGCTTTGTTTCTTTTCTTATCTGAATCCTTCCTTCAAGAGCATTTCCAAAGTGTGGGAACATTTTTGAGACTTTATATGAGTGAGGATATTTATATTCTCTCATCTGAGTGATCGTTTGGGTTAAAAAAACCCTAACGTTCAAAGTTCACTTTTTCTTTTACTCCTGTAAAACCATGACACCAGCATCCTCTTGTCCTGTTCTGCTGTTGAGAAGCGCCCTCCCACTCCGCCTCTTACTCGTTTGCAGGGAGGGTGAGGATCAAATGTGTCCTCCAACCAGGACGCTTCGCAGAGTGATGAGGAGACTCAGATCCGGGCAGCAGGTGTCAACCAGATTTCCTGGGAAAGCCAAGACACGCCTTCTGCTCACTGGCAGGGTGTTTAGTCGCCCTGCTTACAGCTGCTTAGCTCTTTCTCTCTGGAAGCTTTCAGAATTTTCTCATTTGCATGTGATGTTGTTGGGTTTGTTATAGGACGTCTAGGTGTGGGTCTGTTGCTTGGCCTTTTATGAACTCTTTCCATTTGAGTCATCTCTCCTTCCTTCCTTTTCCCTCCCTCCTCCCTTCTCCTCCTCCCCCTCTCCCTCCATCCATGTACCAGTTACTCCTGCTGTAATTTCACCCCCAGGCTCTTTCTTGTGGTCAAATGTAGAGAGTCCCTTATCCTGCCAACAGGAGCTGCTTAAGCTCTTGTGAGACTTACATTTGTTACTGCAAATTTTAGAAAGGCGTTTTGCTTTATATCTCTGTCTCCAGTACATTTTAATTTCTGAGTGCTTTCACGGCCTTAGGCATTGATCAAAATCTCTGGGCCTGTGAAGTCAGGAGCCCGATCCCCTGGCCATCCTAAGAACTTCCAGGCATGGCCTCTACTGATTGCCCGTCAGGAGTCGTGGACATGAAGACTCAGCACGGTGATGTTACGGAAATGACAGGCCAGCCAAGAAACAAGCACCACTCGGAGGGTTGGAGTACTCAGATGTGTTACGCCGGCGGGCTCAGAGGGGCTTCTGCTCCGAAGCTCTGAGCACCTCCAAGACGTGCACATGAGGTTTTATAGGGTTAACTACAAGTATGGGGCTATTAGCCAATAAGGCTCAAACAACAAAAAGCAAGGAATCAGTACACTGGAGCTTCTCAATTTGGAACAGATCACGTTACTGACATTTGTTGAACTTGGATTTATGACTTAGCTTGTTAGCTCAGCTGGGCTTTTTTTTCACAGTGAGAGCCCGATTGCAAACCACGTGAGCTCCTCTGACCAGCTTGAGCAGGAAAGGATGTACTGTGCTGTGAGGGCGAGCAGAGAATCGCACAGAACGGCGATGAGTGTTGAGACTATGTTTCCAGGACCATCGCCCAGACCACAGGATGGGACTGCGCAGGTGAGGAAGCTGCCCCCGCCAGGTGAGTGTCTGCACTTCTGCTCCCAGCGCTGATGCCTCTTCTCAGTGATGGAGGCTGCACGTGGGCCGGCAGCGTGGCTGCTCTGCAGAGAGCCCGCTTCCTTGGGACGCTCACTTCCAAACCCGGTGTCACGTGGGAGGGCCTGGGTGGCACAGAGGGAGGCCCGCCCAGCCTGCCAGCTGCCCGAGAGGCCTGTCAGGAAATGGGGAGTTTGGGAACTTCCTAAAATACCCAAAGGCTGTTTTAATCATTATGGGCTATGGTTGTGACAAATTTCAGCAGGGAGGCCCCCAAGGAGCCCACAGTCCAATGGCGGAGAGAGACATGCAGACATCTTCAGTTCTGCCCAAGGGCTGAGGCTGAGATAGAGCCAAGATGTAGAATCTAATGTAAGACAGCTAACACCGCTGTGGGGAAAGGGACACAGGTCTCCGAGGGCTTGTCTAATTCTCCTGTCTGCATGAGAGGGAAGCCTTTTAAATAAAATTTGCGGAGTTCTTGCTCACATGTTCAAGAAGTTTTCAGACCATTTTACCCATGTTGTAAGCTTGCCTGTCCCCCCGAGATGTTACCTCGTTGATCTGGAGAGTTTGCAGACCTTCTGTCTAGAAAGAGAACTGCTGAGTCATTCCCCACCCCTCAGCTGGCTTACGTGCCCAAATTGTGTTTAAAGATGTGCTGCTTGCTCTAAGTAGCAACTTCTGAAAACTGCAATAAAAAATTATGAGACTGTATTGTTCTTAATTAGAAAGGGTTTTAAAAGAGAGTGGAATGTGGCTGAATTTAAATGAAGCAAAACTTGAAAGACTGGATCCATCTATTATAGACTTACTATCACCTTTACAATAATACACATTATTGTGTCTGTGTTGCTGGGTCCAAGCTTCCACTGCTTGCTGCATGGCAGACTAGTAAGTCAAGGGACAAGTTGTTAGGGCAAGGAACAGTGACTTTATTTGGAAAGCCAGCAGACTGAAAAGATGGTGGACTAGTGTCCCAAAGAACCATCTTGCCGCAGTTAGAATTCACACTTCTTTTACACTAAAAGGGAAGGGAGGAAAGTCAGGCATTTCCTGGCCCCAGTCAGCCTCTGGATGGGATGTGCTCATTCCTT